TCAAAAAAGCATAATTTTTTATCTTTCATTTGACTCCATGCTACGGACGGAGGATATATGTCTACTCGTAATGTCAAACGGGGATATACTTCTCCCTGTTTGACATAACAAGATAATTTTATCTCTTGTCAGTGGATATAATCGGGGGATAAAATTTTAGTCCCCCGCCCATGCTAGCCGGGCAGAAGTGTACAAGCTTGACTGTGAATGTAGCCTCTCAAACTTATATAGGACAAACTAAAAGATCAATAAAAACCCGCATTAAAGGACACATAACTGATGTGAAGAATCGACGCTCCAGAAAGTTTGCAGTCTGTGAACATGTACAGGATTGCCCCCGTCACTACATTAGATTTGATAGACCACAAATCCTGGCTAAAGAACACGGATTTCTTCGAAGGATGATTCGAGAGACTATTGAAATCAAAAAACATCATAATTTCAATAGAGAAGATGGCTGGGTGCTACCACCTGCTTGGGATCATATAATTAATAGAATTAAATCCCAACCCAAGCATACAACTGCAAGACTTCAAGATACTGTAAGTTCATACTGCGTAGATCGGAACAAAAATTTATAATTTTAATCTGGAGGTACCCCTGGTTAACTATGACATTGGGACGTGAAACACCTCAGTCCCCCCCGTGATCATGGGCGCTATAAAGTACTCGAAACGTCGGGAATATAAAATAAGTTAATATACGTGATAAAATCTGTGAAACATACAATTTTAATTAATGCTGTAAAAATGGCGTCATTAAGAAGAATTTTAGGGGCAACTCTGAATGATAGGGTGAAACAATATGTAAAAAGAGAAAAGTGTGATTTACAAGATGTTGTGACCAAGATCAAGAAAGAAATGAAAAAGAAAAGATTAAGAATGAAATGAAAAAAAGAATGAGGGATTTAAAAGGCTCCAAATATAACATTAAATACCAGCATTTAGCAATTCTGATTCTAGACCCCGAACAATAAACAAAATAAAACAAAATTTTAAAAATAACAGGTTATTGTACAATTTGGTTTGCGTTACTCTTTTTTTAATTTTATCCCCAAATAGAAATTTACATTTTATCATGAGTTTAAACATACATAAAATATTGCACAAGGACTAACAATAATCCAAATCCAGAATAAATATTTGCTGCTCAAACAAATATTGTTTGTTTTACCACACAATAAATAATAGTACTATGTAGTTTTATTCACTAAAATGGTCCTCAGAGTCAAAACCCAATTCTTAGCCACTGCATTACCAAGCAATCAATTTCAGAACTAAATCATATCTTATTTACTGTATAGCAATATAACTTAGGACAAAGTACAAATATAAGCTTATAGATTTATTATCTATTTAAATTTTGAGCATACTACATTCATAATCTCCAAAAAAGGGCTATAAAAATACAAATGACTACTTACTGGTATGAACAACCTTTGTGCAGCACACTTGCTAAATAAGTTCATCCATTCTTCTTTATGAGCTTCTGGGAATGTTATTAGTTGAAGCTCAAAATCTAGCTGATTCGTAGTCAAATATTTCCACTTGCTTAAAGTATTGTTAAACGAATCTATTAGATTATCATCAGTAAAAATAATAAAGTGTACGGGAGTTTTTGTAAAAAGGAGCACAGATTTTATTACATTCAAAGATTCTGTAAATCTTGATTCACATACAACAAAAGTCAATACTATTCTTTCTGTCAAATGATTACTGTTTGCAATTGAATCCCTGTAAGAAAAATTTCATAAAGTGATCTTAGCAATAATTTAAAAAATAATAGAATTAAAAATTATTAAATTCACTTTAAATAATAACTTACGTATTTCGAGTATTCGTATAATCCTTTATATTATTTGAATTAATCTTTCTTGTACAAAAAATAAAATAAATAACAAAAAAAGAAAAACATAATAATAATATAACTTTACGTAGAGTTAGCCACCTCATAGTTATTACAAGATTCTTTAACTTTAACGGACTTCGTTCATAATTCCTTTTTTAATTTATTAATTAAAGTACCATCGCAAATAGTAAATAATAACATGTTAACGTTAAGTATTTCTGTATTTTCAGAAAATACCTAACCATAACCATTAAAATTACAACAACCACTACTCTTGTACATACAACTTTATAATTTGTGACCACTACCACCTAGATACAATCTTATCTATGCCACCTAGGCCCGTGCTACATATATATTTATCTATGGGCCCGCCACATACATACGGAATTCCGTTTCGATATTCAGATTTGAGATTTCGAACGCAGTAAGTTCATATAAAATCTATGACCCGTCACACACGTACGGTAGTTTTCCGTTCGAAATTTTGCGGGCAAAACGGGATTCCGTATGTATGTAGTATGGGCCTTAGGAGTGGGCGATAAAAATCGTATATAGATACAATATCTATGTATCAGTACAATATCCAACATCTATATATCCGACGACAAACTAACTATGTATTACGATTTTACGATACGGTGTTGATATGAGTCATCGCAGAATATCTAATATCTACTCAAAACCGAAACGTAAAATATCTAAATATATACACTGATTCGGATACCGAACAAACCTTGAGCGCGATCTTACTACTACTACTTAAATAAATGTCTTTGAGCGCGATAGAATTTATAGCTAAAACAGATAACAGATATTACGATTTACCACCGAAAAATATAATGAAAATTTATTCACAATCAAATTATTTCAAGAACTATTTTAAAAATGACGATAAGCAAAACAAGGCGTTATGGCTCAAATGCCAGCCACCCTGTACCGAATGTCGTCCTTTTGTGTACTTAATGCCAGCATAGCATAGGGTGGTGCCTTTTGAGTTTTTGGTAAGTACCTAATGCAGGTAAGTTTTAGAGGTACAGTAATAAATTCGTAACAACTTTTAATTTTGAATCTTCATGTGACAAGCATCGGATATGTATTAAGGCAGATGACAACATTTTTTTATCTTAATGTTTTACTACTTACTGTGTTTTAGTTTAAAGCTGTTCAATAAATTAAGGCAAATTATGATAAAATATTATGTAGTATATCGATTTCTAATAATTTAATCATCCAAGTTGTCAAATCATCATCGTCATTACAACCTTACACAAGTCCACTACGGATCATCCTCCTCCATAGACTGTCGCAAAGCCTGGTCCTAAACCACTTTCCTTGTCACGAGTTTTTCATTTATGTTCTAAGTTGTAATTACTATTATTAAGTTATAGTTATAGTGTTTTACTAAGTTTATTTTTATATATACTATATTAATCGATTGTTTTTTCTTCTTTCTCAAAAAATAATTAATACGTAAGGTGTCCTTAATATACGCCGAATGTCAGATAGAAAAGCTAGTACATCTTTTGCTATAAACTTTAAAATTTAAAGCCAATTTTAAAACAGAGGAATTCATCATAACTCCCTTAACTATAAAATAAGTTATGATCTAATTAATGATATTTATTCCAGTATATGACGACAGCCCTGATTTATATTACGTGGCTGAAATTAGGTACTCCTTATTAGGTACGTCAAACAAACTAACAGCCAGCAACAGGGCAGCTGACATTATGCACTCCATACATTTTGTATATCTAATTACAGCCCCATTAATTTCCACTTAAAGAAAATAAATATAATAATGTAAATTAAGCATAATTTTACCGGGATCATAACTTGTCAAAAAATTAGGAAAATGAGAGTTTTTCGTCGCGTACGTGTTTTGATTATTAATTTAACAGTGTTATGGTCCCCACACACGGTCAGTTAAACTGACATCAGTTTAACTGATCATTTCAAACGGATTTAATCCAGAACAATTTCGACACACACGATTAGTTCAACTGATCATTCCAACTCTTCAGTTCAAACTAGGACTGTTGATATTTTTAAAATATCGGATTTTCAATATATCGATAATTATAAATATTGTTACGAGCTTGGGGTTCGAGACAATTAAAAACTGCCGATTGAATTACCAAAATTGACACTTTAATTACACAACACTAATTACCATCTAAAATCACACTAATAATAAAACACAGTTCGCCGTTATTTCGCTTCGAAGTATTCTCTTGTATCGCCAATTCAATACTGCCCCGGTCGTGGTCTATACCGGCCTTATATAGGGCCTCAGATAGTTTCCAGAACCTTCTACTGTAGCGACATCTAGAATGTTCGAGTACATATCGGTCCCGAAATTTCTGGAAGGATCTCGACTCTCCTAGTTCTGCTACTCGACACTAGAGGGCGCTAGTGTAACTAGTGTTGCCATGTACAAGACATTAATAGTGGCGCGCAATACTTTCATTTACTCGACACTAGGGGGCGCTAGTGTAACTAGTGTTGCCATGTACAAGACATTAATAGTGGCGCGCAACACTGCCCCCTCCTAAGACATGCTCGTCCCGAGCATTATTGGCCCCATAATAACGCGCCAGTCGATCCAGATGGACAATCTTAGGAGTACCTCTGGCACCTTTCTGTATCCGGTAGGTTACATCATTGATCCTTGTCACAATCCGGTACGGTCCGTCCCATTTAGCTTGAAGCTTAGGAGATCTCCCTTTGCTGCGAACTGGATTGTGTAACCACACTAGTGAACCTTCATCAAACCCCTTGTTGTTCATTTTGCGGTCATACCGTGTTTTCATCTTCTCAGACGTTTGCTGGCCCGTCTGTCTGACGTGCTCATAAATGTCATTCATTTTGTTCCGCAAGTCATTTGCATAATCGGTTATACTGCGTGGGGCATCAGGTGGTATTCCGGTGATCAGGTCTGCAGGCAGCCGTAATTCTCTCCCAAAGTTTGCGAAAGCTGGCGTCACTGACGTACTTTCGTGAACAGCGCTTCGATATGACAACAAAAACGGTTGTATGTGCCTGTCCCAGTCTCGTTGCCGTTTTTCCACAACTTTTGCCAGGTACCTGTCCAATGTCTGATTAAATCGTTCTACCATTCCATCAGATTGTGGGTGGTAAGAAGTTGTTCATGTTTTATGAGTACCCATAACTCTGCAAGTTTCCTGGAATATTTGAGACTCGAAATTCCTTCCTTGATCGCTGTGAATTTCTAAAGGTACTCCAAAACGACAGAAGACTTCATGAACTAGTTTATCTGCAATTGTTGAAGCTTCTTGATTTGGAATGGCGAAGACTTCTGGCCACTTAGTGAAGTAATCCATCACAACCATGAAATACTTGTTACCACTTTCACTTTCCGGAAACGGCCCCGCAACGTCAATGGCTATCCTCTCCCATGGTGCACCAACATTGTACAATTTCAATGCGCCTCTACTACGAATTTGAGGTCCCTTTACAGCCGCACAACTTGTACATTTGCGGCACCAGTCCTCGACATCGTCACGACAGTGGACCCAGTAAAACCGTTCTCGGATTTTCAGTAGAGTTCGTTTAACTCCCAGGTGGCCTCCTGAACAACCACTATGGTACAGCTGTAGAACATCCGGTACTTTAGCCTTAGGGACAACCATTTGCAAATGACAACTGGCTCCCCGACCATTTTCCCATTTACGGCACAGGACTCCATCCTGAATCAGCAAGCTGTCCCATTGGGCCCAATAGCTTTTCGTGGTCGAACTCATTGCTGAGACATCGCTCCACTTGGGCTTAGGAGCACTGGCCTTCATCCATTCCAGAATCGGCTTAATATCCGAATCTTCCTGCTGTGCATGTTGTAGGCTGTCCTTCCACTCATTGCTGAGCTGGTCTGTCCTAAGCATCCTCACAGATACCACTTCCTTACCCTCTTGCCTAGTACAATGCTTGCAATCTTCAGGGCAAGGTCTTCTTGACAATGCATCTGCATTGCCATGAGATTTCCCGCTGCGATGTTCGATCACAAAGTCGTATTCCTGCAGTAGTTCAATCCATCTCGCAACTTGTCCTTCCGGATTTTTGAACTGCAATAGCCATTTCAGTGCAGCATGGTCAGTTCGTAAGTGGAATTTCCGCCCTAGAAGATATTTGCTAAAATGCTGCAAAGACTTTACCACAGCAAGCAATTCGCGTCTTGTGACACAGTAGTTCCTTTCCGGCTTTGACAATGACTTGCTAAAGTACGCTATCACAATCTCTTGGTCACCATTCCGTTGAGACAACACACCGCCAAGTCCTATATCACTTGCGTCTGTGTCAACTATGAATTCCTTGCCCGCATCAGGGTACCCCAAAATAGGTGTTTTGCACAGACGGTTCTTGAGCTCCTGGAATGCAATATCGCAACTTTAATCCCAGCAGAATTGTCGCTTCTCCTCGGTTAGCTTGTGCAGAGGTTTGGCTATATCTGCAAAGTTCTTCACAAATCGCCGATAATAAGAGCACAAACCCAAAAATGCTCTAACCTGTGTCTTGTCTTTTGGAACCGGCCACTCCTTGACAGCGGCATTTTTTTCTGGATCCGTGCGGATACCTTCTTCCGACACTACATACCCCAAAAACCTAACTTGCCGTTTGAATAGTGAGCACTTCTTTGGACTCAACTTGAGGTTGGCACTCTGGATCTTCATGAGCACGCGTTCCAGGTTTTGAAGGTGTTCCTCAAACGTACGGCCTACGATGATGATGTCATCCAAATAGACGAGACAGGCATCTCCAATTAGCCCGGTAAGTACAAGCTCCATCAACCTTTCAAACGTTGCTGGAGCATTGCACAATCCAAACGGCATGACTTTAAATTGCCACAGACCCTTTCCTGTGGAGAATGCAGTTTTCTCCTTGTCCTTAGGGTCAATTTCAACCTGCCAGTAGCCACTTTTCAGATCCAGCGTACTAAACCACTTTACACCTGTAAGCATGTCCAGCGTGTCATCAATTCTTGGCAAGGGATAGCTGTCCTTCTTTGTAACGTCGTTCAGGCGGCGGTAGTCAACACAAAACCCCATGCTGCCGTCCTTCTTCTTTACCAGCACCACAGGTGAACACCATGGACTAGATGAAGGTTCAATAACATCACCCTTCACCATTCCCTCAATCATGGTTTCCACTTCCTTTTCACGTGCTACAGGCAATCTTCTTGGCCGCTGACGAATAGGCAATTCTTGTCCTGTGTTTATTTTGTGTTGAACTAAGCCAGTCTTTCCTATGTCAGCTTCGTTTGACGAGAAAACATTGGCGTACTTGAGTAACAACTTCTTCGCCTTGACCATTTCATTCGGGGAAAGAACGCTGCGACAGTCTTCTAAAAGTGTGGTCACTCTCGTTTGTCCATCCTTGCTGGGGGTCCCGGTCGATAGATATTCGCACCGACGCAACCAATCCACTTCTTCACTAGTACCAACCAATGTGCCTTTTTCTATAATCTGTTCCTGATCACAAAGGTTCAACACACGTACTCCTGAGATGTCGGTGGTTCTGACCAAGGTTCGAGCCACTTTCCATGGAAGGTCATTGTCTACCCTTTCCACGAGTACACAACGGTGAGCTTGCCCAGGACTCCGAGGAAGACTAACCGGCTCAATCGTTTCCGATCTCGGCGGAAGAACAATCTTCTTAAGGCTATACACATTCCCTGGTAACGCCCCTTCCACGAAAAGTTCCTCTTGTCCACATTTCAAAACACCTTGCTTAACGTCGATCTCACAACAATTCTTCCTCATAAAGTCTAGGCCCAGGATGCAGTCGTCCATTATATCAGCCACGATGACATTATGCAGGTAGATCATGTTGCCTAGCTTCAACTCCATCTCCTTCTCTCCACGGACGGGTATGCGCTGACCAGTGGCTGTCACCAAATTAATGCGTTCTCGGTTGTATGCGGAGTCCCCAAGGAACCGACTTATAAGTTGGGAACTGACAACCGTGCGAGAGGCTCCAGTGTCTATGGTCAGTTTACACGGCGTTCCGTTGACTTCACCCTTGATGATTAGGCTGTTTCCATCATGGGTTTGTGAGATCGAAATCCTTGGGGCTCTTTTAGCATCAGCCAGCACCCGCCCCGCAGTCCTGGCTTTTACTCGTTTCCCTGCTGCTGCTGGGCGGTGCTATTAGCCGTACTACCCTCTCGAGATCGATCACCTTCCCTTTCTACAGTTCGCTTAGGGCAGCTGGATCGAAGATGGCCCCTTTCCCCACAGCCGTAGCACCTAGGGCTGTAGCTTTTATTGCGGTCCTGAACTGTAGCTGCTGCAACCTCCCTGACGCGGTAGGAACGATGATCCTGCCGCACGGCTTCCACCTCCAGTGCATGGGTCAAGGCGTCCTTAAGCGTCTCGTGGTGCCCGAGCCTCACAGCAGCTCTGACTTCAAGATCGCGGATGCCGTCGATGAATGTCTGCACCAGGTTCCCTACAATGAGCGCAGGTACAGACTGGTACGCTTTTCGAACCAGCTTCTCCACCTCAAGGGCCCACTGCTGCAGGTTTTCGTTACTGCGTTGCACGCGATCTTTGAGCTGCGCACGAAAGACGTGTTCCAGGTGAGCGTCGCCATATCTCGCCTCCAATGCCTCAAGGAGCTGCTCGTAAGTCACTTCCTTACCGAGAGCTTCCAGAACAGTTAAGGCCTGGTCGCGCAGGCCTAGGGTGAGAGCAGTCATGACCTGACTTTTATTCCAGCCGTTCGCTTTCATGACAGCCTCGAACTGGATTTTGTAGGCCGACCAGGAAGAAGTCCCGTCGAACGGTGGCACTTTGAATCCACGTAGCGAAGGTGTTGTAGCTACCACGGGAGCTGTAACTCCATCCCCAATTTTGAGGTCGTTCAGCGTTTTCTTCACGTCAGCCATCACGTTGTCAACCCGATTGTACACTTGGTCGATTCGGGTTTCAGCTTCCGACAGGCGGTTGGCATATTGAGCAACCTTATCCTTCACCTCACTTATTTCTTTCCCGAAGGTAGCGTGAAGGTCCTTCATGAGAAGTATCTGCTCTTCCTTATCGCGTTTGAGCTGCTCTTCCAACCGACGGCCCTGTTCCTTCTGTTGGCGGGCTTGTTCCTCCTGTCTGCGCTGCAGCTGCTCTTCCAACCGACAAGCCTGTTCCTCCTGTCGGCGGGCCTGTTCCTCCTGTCGGCGAGCTTGTTCCTGCAGCATCATCATCAGAGTACCTAAGTCAGGTGCTGCAGATGCAGGAGCTGCTGACGGGCCGGACTTCGTGGTCGGCAACTGGCCTGCCGACGTCTGTGACGTTGCACCACCAAATCGTCTCTGGTCCGTCTCCTGTTGGCGTTGACTTCGAGTACGGATACGCTCGGTGTCGTCTTTAGGTAAAATCGGCATATTTGATCCCACTTCTGACACCAATTGTTACGAGCTTGGGGTTCGAGACAATTAAAAACTGCCGATTGAATTACCAAAATTGACACTTTAATTACACAACACTAATTACCATCTAAAATCACACTAATAATAAAACACAGTTCGCCGTTATTTCGCTTCGAAGTATTCTCTTGTATCGCCAATTCAATACTGCCCCGGTCGTGGTCTATACCGGCCTTATATAGGGCCTCAGATAGTTTCCAGAACCTTCTACTGTAGCGACATCTAGAATGTTCGAGTACATATCGGTCCCGAAATTTCTGGAAGGATCTCGACTCTCCTAGTTCTGCTACTCGACACTAGAGGGCGCTAGTGTAACTAGTGTTGCCATGTACAAGACATTAATAGTGGCGCGCAATACTTTCATTTACTCGACACTAGGGGGCGCTAGTGTAACTAGTGTTGCCATGTACAAGACATTAATAGTGGCGCGCAACAATATATCAATATCGGACTTTTATATATCGAAAACATAAGCGATATATCGATGCTTATTGCTTAAAAATGATTTACACAGTTAATAATTTAGTATATTTATTAAACAAATTAAATTATAATAGAATGAAAATTTTAGGTTATAATTCTTAGTAATTATTAATGAGCCGTGGTAGCTCAGATGGTTAGCGCTCGCTGTAAATTTCACAGTACGCGAGCAACCCGGTTTCAATCCCCGCCGGCACCAATGAAATTGTTAATTGCAATTTTAAGTGCTGATTTACCACGTGCTCGACGATGAAGGAAAACATCGTGAGGAAACCTGCATGTCTGAGAAATAAAATAAAAATTTCAAAAAACGTGAAGTTCGCCAACACGCATTGAGGCAGCGCGGCGGACGTTGCCCTAAAACCCTCTCAGAAATTTGGAGAGGCCTGCCCAGCTGAGGAGTGCCCAGCATTGGGACGTATAAGGCTGTAACTTTAACTTTAATTATTGTTTAATTTAAATAAGACAATTATGTTTACCAATATTTTTCGGTAAGAGTTTTCAAAAATACTCGTTCTTTTAATATGTTCAGCTGTTTCAATACTGCGATTATTGGGCACTAAAAGATTGATTGTAGAAGTAATTCGTTGAGATGCTACGGATGCAGCTGAAGAAATCAAATATTTAACATCTATTTTTGATAGCACGGAAGTAAATCATAAGACGCCTAAGCGATTAAAATAACTTGAGGCTTATACCAACATCGAAACACTTATTTCGTCGTTTTCTCTAATAGCTCACATGCGCAGACACTTAATACACATAATCGCATCACTTTGATAAAAATCCACTTTAAACGATTATTTAAACGGTAAAACAGGAGCAACCATCCGTCAACCAAATAATAAAAAAAATAATTATTTAAAAAAATATATCGACTGTCGTATATGTATATTTCAATATCAAACTTATATTTCAATATATATCGTCCAAAAGTATTAGAAATAAATATCGATATTTCTAAATAATAAAATAGATTTTTCGATATATCGATATTTTATCAACAGCCCTAGTTCAAACGTGGGGCGTGGCCGTGGGCGTTTGGTTTGCGTGACTCCTATAAAATATCATAAATATAGATAAATTAAATGATGTTTATTAATATCTAAATCTTATTTAATATCATTTCCTGTCTATACAAATAAATAAAATTGAAGTGTCTGTTTGTAATGTCAAAATAACAGTTTTTTTACTAAATACATATGAAAGTACATACGGTACTTATAACAAAAAACACAATTTTTAAAATTTTTGTCTGTCTTTCTGTCTGTCTGTTTGTTCCGGCTAATCTCCGAATCGGCTGAACCAATTTTGACGAGACTTTCAGTGGCAGATAGCTGATATTTATAAGGAGGAACTTAGGCTACTTTTAATTTAGAAAAAGAATTAGGGTTCCGCGCAAAAACATTAAAACTGATGAAATCCAATCGTAATAAATTACACGCGGGCGAAGTTGCGGGGAACAGCTAGTTAATAGATAGGAAATGACATTTTTAATTTATAGGAGTAACGCCAACTAAACGCGCACGGCAGTGGCCCCGTCGATCGAGAAATGAAATCCGTTCCGTATATATATATATAAATATCGTTTCCTATATATTAACACTTCAAAAGATATTTTTATTCATGATGAGGTCAGTATGGTGTACCACCATTGAGCGCACCACATTTAAGCTTAGGATCAGACCCACAGATGTCAGGAGGGTGGTCGGGATCGGGATCGGCGGGAAGTCCCCAGACACTTTTTAGGAAATGGGTCAGATATTATGATAATTTTATTCATTATGGTAAATTTTATTTATTTAATAAATGTATTATTTATTTTTATCTTTTACCCCACCTTCTTAGTTCACCATCATGAAGATATTATAATCACATTGAACTAGGTCTTTATAAACCCTTTCAAATGAGTTCAAACACGATCATTCTACTTAGTACCGTCCACCTTCGGATTGCACTATCAGAAAGGTGAGGTCATAACAGTCACCTAGGTCTTTATGAGCCCTTTCAAATGAGTTCAAACACGATCGTTTTATCTAGTGCCGCCACTGAGATCCTATACCCAACTTCGGATTGCACCATCAAAAAAGTGAGGTCATAACAGTCACCTAGGTGAGCCCTTTAAAATGAGTTCAAACACGACCGTTCTATCTAGTACCGCCACTGAGATCCTATACCCACCTTCGGATTGCACCATCAGAAAGGTGAGGTCATAACAGTCATCTAAGTCTTTATGAGCCCTTTCAAATGAGTTCAAACACGATCGTTCTATCTAATGCCGCCACTGAGATCCTATACCCACCTTCAGATTGCACCATCAGAAAGGTGAAATCATAACAGTCACCTAAGTCTTTATGAGCCCTTTCACATGAGTTCAAACACGACCGTTCTATCTAGTGTCATCACTGA